GCGCGTAAGCGAGATTCATGCGTTATCAGTGCATTCAGCGTGTTTGCAGTTCATGTCTGGGGATGCAGGGGTAGTTCTGAAACCTAATCCTGCATTCATGCCCAACATAGTTAACACTATCATTCCTCTTGAGTTAAGAGCCTTCTATCCAGCACCTTTTGCTTCATCAGAACAGCAAAAGTTAATAAATGCATTGTGCCCAGTGCATGCTTTATGCATTTATACAGAAAAAACCAGAAGGTTCAGGGAGAGTGATCAGCTGTTCATATCTTGGATGAAACCTCGTACGGGGAAGCCGATTACTAAGCAGCGTTTATCACACTGGATAGTGGAGGCGATTTCGTTGGCATATTCCAGTAAGGGCCCTGTGTCCCCACCTGGTTTATGTGCACACTCAACAAGGGGAATGTCAACTTCGTGGGCTCTACTGTATTTAAAGGAGTCACGTTACAGGATATTTGCGAAGTAGTGAGTTGGTCCTCACCGCATACATTTATTTGCAAGGTTTTATAAACTGGATGTTACAGCTCAAACTTTAGCACATGCAGTATTGAGCGTAGGAATGTGTGTCACGAGTCATGATCGTTCAGCCCCAGATGCGTGCTTGTGGTTGGCAGGAGACTTCGAGGCAGGCTATCTGGCAATACGGGGGTTAGGATATCCCATAGTGAGACACCGAAACGTATGCTTGAAAGAGAACAATAGGTTAACTTGCGTAACCCCGGTTCTCTGATAGCATTATCTGAGGTGTCTCACCAGATCACCCTCCTTCCTGTGCGAAGCGAGGAAGAGGTGTGCCTGTTTTGAATGTCGTAGTGACGCTGTGTAGTGATGGCCACTTTTGAAACACTGCTTCATGAAGCTTTGAAACCTTTGCAAATCAATTGTTTCGAAACAGTGTTTCGGAGCACTGTTGCCAACTCTCGCGAGACAAATAAGCAACCGAAGCTTAAAAAACAAGCCCAATATTTTTTGATGATTTATTATCATCAATATTATTTATTATCAATTATTTATTACCAATAAATGAGCCTGCAACATATTAAACTGAAACTACTCTTTTATCTAAAAAGTAAAAACAGAAGTTATTTTACAAAAATCAAAGTGGAAACCAGTGGCGGCTCCTGCCAGTTCTCTCAGGGGGGGCAAATGTTTGCATGATTAATGAGGATAGGTCACCCATTCAATTGATAAATTAACGGCTAGTTAAAGATGTAAAGGAAACTGAACTACTAGTATTAATTAAAAATAAACTGACTCTAACAATCAATCTCTTGCTCTCCTTATGTTTCTATATGCGTGTTAACACAATTCAGCAGCAAATGAAGACTGAAGCCAGGATCTGGTTTTCCAAAAAACTTTTTACTTCAATTTCAGTTTAATAATAATTGAAGTCACGTAAATCACTATTTACACAACTCACTTATATTACATTGCTCCCTTGCCTTAACTTACACTGCTCCCTTACATTGCTCCCTTACATTACACTGCTCACTTACATCACATTTCTTACTTACACTGCTCACTTACATTACACTGCTTACTTACACTGCTCACTTACATTACACTGCTCACATTACACTGCTTACTTACACTGCTCACTTACATTACACTGCTCACTTACATTACACTGCTCACTTACATTACACTGCTCACTTACATTGCACTGCTTACTTACATTACACTGCTCACTTACAT